TATGCTGATTGAGCGTGCGGCTGAGGAATCCCCGCCTGTTTTGCCGACCATTGAGGAGCTGAACGCTTGGAACCACATTGACCATGATGAATACATGAAATGGCTTACTGAGGAAAGAAAACAACATGGAAACAACTGGAACTTCAAGTACATCCAACCATTCACACATGGCCACAACATTGGTACACTTCAACTTGCTCGCATCAATGGAGAAGAATATCTTGGAATGGGCTGGTGTAAGGTACATCGATATGGCGAGAATGAGTGGATGGGCAACAAGTGGGAAAATCCGCAATGGATAGTCGAATTGTCGAAAAGATTCAATGCAGCGCTACGCCACTCCGTGGGTTGCGTCAAAGACAATCGAAATCACCGTGGACTACCATGCGACGAGGCAGGTTGGGTCAATGTTGAGTCGATCTTGAAGTACGATGCCATTTGGAGAGACCAACATACATTGGCCGGAACGACCCATGTCAACTACCCGATACTTGTTGAGAGGTGGAACAATTTCCAGAGAGTGATCTTCACTGAGTACAAGCAAACGAAGAGAATCCGAGCCCAAGTGCTAGGACTCAAGGTCACGAAAGGTGAGTTGGAACACATCATGAACAACTTCAATGATGGATTGACCTCGAGACTTGATCGACAAACACTGAGATTGGAGATCGGCACAGCAGATCGAGAGATTTGGCTTTGGCCGGTGGCAATCCGTGCCCCTATGGCACATTCAAGAGTTCAAGGCGGTGTGCACATCGAAGACAAGAAGACTTCCTATCAGATGAACCCTGGAGTAGGATACACTCTTGGAGGAGGATTTCACTGCACCACATTTGACAACATCGCTCAAATCTTCAGAGAAGGACTACGTCCTGGAGGAGGAGGCGACCGCATCAATACGTTCTTCGTGCCATTCGCACCGTGGGACGTGCGAAGTCAGATGGTGCTGAGATTCAGGAAGATTGATCAAACTGATCTTGTCTACATCTACATCACGTACGATTCCATCGCCAAGTTCTCCCCTAGATTGTCAGCAGACGGACACATTTTGGTCCAAGAAACAATTCCATTCGAATCATTCGATGCAGTTTGGTATTACGACTGGAGGGAAAAGGACTACTACCGTCTCATGATCACAAAGGGAAGAGATCAACTTGTCCTTTCTGTGCAAGGAGCAAAGAGGGTGGCCACCATTGAACGATTTGACAAGCTCATTGGGAACATTGTGCCTGATGAATCATCACCCGATCTGGACGAACTTCGAAAACTTGTCGATATCAGGACCGGTCACTTCAGTCATACTCACAGATTGTTCCCTGGACATCCGGATTGGAATGATGCAATATCATTGTTGGCAGTCACTCATCATCCCAGCAAGGAGGACCATCGACTATGCCCCGCATGTCTGATGGAGACCCCTGCACCATTATCGATTTGTGTGATGTGCAAAGGATTTTTGGTGAGTCATGGATGGAGGAAACGAATCAAGATCACCGTGGCTACAGTACCAAGCGCCGAATCACATCATCGAGAAGAAGATCTCAAAGACCATGTCAAGAAAGCATGGGAGGAGGTGAAGATCGATTTGACAGGTGATGGTGATGACGACGAAGCGATGCCAGATGATGATGACGTCACCATGAAGAGTCCAGAACAAGAAACTCAACCAGAAGAAGGAGATGATGATCAAGCCTCGAAGAAGGGCGACATCAATGATGAGAAAAGAGACTTCAGAGAACAAGATGAGGTCGACAAATTTCTCAATCAGGAAGGAAAACCGACCGACGAGAACGACGATGAAGAGATAGCGGTCGATGAAATCAACATTGAAGAGTATGAGGCTGGAGAAGCTCGTGATGCAGTGATTGAATTTCCCAAGTGGATGAAGCGGATTGAGTTTGGATCAAAGGTCCTACCAATCGAGCCTTGCACAATTGGAGATGCCCAGCCGGAGCTCATCAAGATCCTCCTGTTGCAGATTGGATTACATATCGTCAGGATCTACAGACTATTCCAACGGAACTTCTGTGGAGACATCGAGACGGCATGGAAACATTTTCAACAGAACCAGAAATTCAGGATGGACCTGGACTCAAGAGTGCCTTACCTAGGCGAGGATGAAAATGGTGAACTCATTGAACCAACTGCACAACAGATGAAAGAGCTCTACAAAGAGATCGGCCGACCAAATCAAAAGGACGACATCGGGGAAGAGGGATTCGTCAATGCATACTATGGGGCAGTGGTACTCAAAAGACTTCTCATATATACCCTTGAATGTGGCTACACGTATGATGACTTGCAGAATATCTTCTTTGACGAGGAGATGGAGAAGCTGTCGAAACGTGACACAACAATGGATGAGATGAGAAAGACCACAGCTGCCCGCGAAGCCCTTGACCGACAAGACGTCATGGTCAGAAGAATCATTGCAGGTGCATATAGGGTGAATGCTGTTTATTTCTTCAGGAACGTCGACTTTCAAGACACAATCACACTGAACCCAGTTGACATTGTGTGTGCTCTTCGTCCCCCACTTCGAAGAATATCACTTTTACACCTGATCCTTCAAAATGGCCGACAATTGCCACGACCTCTACTCCAGAAGCTATATGATGCAATCGATGACTACAATCACATCAAGCAACGGGAAGATCAACGACCAAGGTGGGGCATCCACATGACTGACGCCCATATACTTGCGATTGCTGATACCCCAACTCCTGCTGATCGTGAACGTACTAACCCAGCCGCTGGCAAGTCGAAAGCAGCTCCAAAAGCAGCACCAGCATTGGGAAGAGTGTCAAAAGCGAAAGCATCATCGTCAGCAACATGGAGAACAGTTGAAACCGCACCTCCGCCAAAACAAGCTCCAGTGACCCCGCCAAAGAAGGGTGGAAAAGACCAAGGAAAAGGTGGAAAATCTTATTCACACCGTGGCGGAGACTGGAACCAACAGGGATACTATGGATGGGGATATAGATGATTAATCGATATGACCTCTGCATAGGTCCTGATTGAACCTGGCGATGCGAGGATGCAATCATTGCTCGAGATTTACCTCTACTTCATTTCGAATGATTTCTGAGAGGACTCTGAGCCGGCTAATTTAGAACCACACATTTTTTTTTGAACATCATTGCACGAGACGCTGAGTTTCTACAGCGGTCTACATCTCAACCGACGAAGGAACGGGAAGGTAAACTTCTAATTCCATAGTCAACTTTGTGTTTTTGATTTCTTTAATTCACATGCTTGAGTGAGACTCCATGCTGGCTACGCCACATCGGATGAACCTCAATGCTAGACACCGACTACGTCGTGTCTACATGCACGTGAACAGAACCTTTATTTTTTTTTGGTAGAGATCGTAGCAAGCCGCCTTGTAGATTAGAAGTTCTGAACGGACTTTAGCTCTCCATAATTCAATAAATGAACAGCTGCGAGTGTAGTGGATCAATTTAAAGGACACTCCTTTGCGCGCAGCCAACAAAGTTAGCTGTGCGTGTGGGGTGCGAATAGAGTGTAGGCTACGGACCATTGTATATTATCACAATTAGACACTCTAGGATCCAGTACCAAAGGGGCTCTTCAAACTGGCCTCTTTGGCTCAAGACCCACTGCAGCACTGGAGTAAAGAACAGCTATGCGGAAGCTGCTGCCCGCGTAACGTCATCACTGGAGCAATCACTTCAACATTAACTATCAGGACATAATCGGACAGGCAATCCCCGATTCGCAATCTATCTATCTATCTATCTATCTATCTAATCTAATCTAATCTAATCTAATCTAATCTAATCTAATCTAATCTAATCTAATCTAATCTAATCTAATCTAATCTAATCTAATCTAATCTATCTAATCTATCTATCTATCTATCTATCTATCTATCTATCTATCTATCTAATCTAATCTAAATCAATCTAATCTAATCTATCTATCTAATCTAATCTAAATCTAAATCTAATCTAAATCTAATCGAATCTAATCTAATCTTAATCTAAGCTAATCTATCTAATCTATCTATCTATGTCTATCTATCTATCTATCCTATCTATCTATCTATCTAATCTATCTAATCTATCTATCTATCTATCTATCTATCTATCTATCTATCTATCTAATCTATCTAATCTATCTATCTATCTATCTATCTATCTATCTATCTATATACTATATCTCTATCTATCTATCTATCTATCTATCTATATCTCTATCTATCTATCTATCTATCTACCTATCTATCTATCTATCTAATTAATCTATCTATCTATCTATCTAATCTAATCTAATCTAATCTACTCTAATCTAATCTAATCTATCTATCTATCTATCTATCGTTGAGGAGTTGTTGTTGAACAGTTTTTGAGAAGTTGTTGTTCAAGAGTTGTTGCGAATTTGTTGTGGACGAGTTGAGTCGTAACCTCCTATTCCCTGGCGCGCTGCCCCTTGCTTGGCCGGGGTCGGCGGATAAGGAAACAAAAATAGTAGGAAACGGTTTGGCGATGCCTTTGAATCCATTTCTGGTGATATTTGGGGTGGTTTGTCATGGAGTTTGTCCCATTACGTCGATAATTCTCGGTGTCAAACTTTGGTACAGTGCCCCAAGATGCCGTGGAAGAGTCTTAATTTTCTCATTGACATTGACATGACTTGGAATGAAAAATGGCAAGTTTGGTGGTATCCCGCATTTTGCACCAAGATCACTGTGGGAATGGGTCCATGCCTGTGGGACCATTGGAGTGGGGAGATGGAGATTCATTTGCCACCAATTTGTTGTGAAAACCAAGGCGTATGTAGTCTCACTCACAACGATTGAGAACATTGTGAAATACATGACATGAATCCCGCTTTGGCTTTGCCATTGAACCATATTGAAGCGTTTGAGTTTGAACCCTCGTTTTCAGCTACAGATGTGTGGAAGATCTTTGTTTTTCCAAGTTTTAGTTTCTATATAATTTGTTTCAGCATGGCATGTTTAAGCTTAGCGGCTTAGCATGGCGAGTTTTTCGTGGTTTCACACATCAAATTGGGATGATCCTTGGTTGTCCGTGGCTCGAGTACCATGGCGTGTAACCAAGGCGAATGCCAATACCTGCCTTGTGGCGGCACTCATCCGCGCATGGCAGGGCGAAGTGAGCAAGAGCAAGCAGGACAGAGGTTTGCCAGGGCTGCTTGATGTGTATGTTTTGTATATTGTAAATGATAGCCACAACGGTGGGAAATGGGACATTCCTACCTCTTTATTTACTCAATTTCTATCCCTTGTGCATTGGGCGTTGGGAGCAACCAGGTTTGTTTTGTTACAGCTGCCAAAAAAAACATATTTTTATGGCAGGGTATCTTACTTTAAGCTTTGTTGAATATATACTATTGCAATGCACAATATTCAGGCAATCTAAATAATGTGGTTAAAAAAATAAACGATCCTTCAAATCACCATAAGTATAGGTGGTATAAACCATTCCCAAATGGGTGGTTTATTTTTTGTTTTAACCACATTGTCCTTCATTTGATCCCACAAAATATCCTTCTTCATGTAGGACTTGGAGTTAAAAAAGTGGTTGCAAGCCACCGAGCGGCACGTGAAGCAGCGGAGACAGGTCGGGTTGCATGTCTTTTCTCACCGAAGCCTGCGGGTGAAGGTTTGGAATGATAATTAGGAAGGGAACATGTTCCCAATATTTTGTGAGCAGATAATGCAATGGGAATTTTGATGGAATTATTCCATTATAGGAATTATGTCAGATTAGTGAAAACGTATAATGTCATGCCCAAATGTCGATTGTTTGCAGGGACAATTCGCTGGCAAACAATGCGTATCAATGCGTGTTTTCTTGCCTAGAGGTATCTTACAAGCTGTTGTCACCTTCTGGCATTATCTGGTCTCTCAGAAGTGCACTGTGCTGTCAAGATGAGAAATCCAACTGATATAAAAAACACAAGTGTGGTTGCCTTTAGCAAGACTTTGGGCACAATTATTTGGATTCCTGGGAGGGTCTCGTCATGCGCTTGTTCCTAGCAAAAGGGAAGCCTGTCAATCTTGTTTGTGAAGGCAAATAAGAACTTGTGCCTGATCAACTGTGACCGTTTGGCGAAGCAATTTGATCTGGCTTTGTTGCTTGGCCCTGTGTGAGAGAAATATCCGGCGTTCATAGCAAAGGACATACTGCCCCATTTAAAACCCACCAGGTTTTACAGGTTGAAGTTGGTGGTTTCACCCCGACAACTATGCAACCGTTTTTTCAAAAAACGGGGATCGCCCAAAATAGGGTTGAACAAACACGACTATGTTGCTATAAACATCTATAAGCAGTCAACCATTCAGAAATGTCCGTGGGAAACTTAAGTAGCACAAAGAAAAAAACGAGAATGTCCTGGATGAACCGGGGACTAGCCGACTAGTCCCCATGCTGGGATGATTGGAGGGCTGAGAAAAGCTGGGATAATCTTTCTATGGCATCCCCATGTCCTCCATATATTTCCCAATCTCGAACATGAAGAAAAACATGACCCCAATGTGAAATGTACTTGTAGTAAAATTGCAGTGGTTAGCTGATATCCAGGGAGCGAAATGGGATTGGAAACAGGCAATCATCATGAATCTAATGCTCAGCTCTAAATTAAGTGGTTACTGGTTAGCACGTTTATCCAAGACTAATAGCTTGACATGCAGAAAAAATGAATATCCTCCCAATAATAGTCAATGATCCCCGTAGATGCCGCGGCTAAACTCTCCGACATGGCAAGGGGGAGAGAGAGAGAGAGAGAGATATATATATATATATACAGTAGTATATATATATATAATAAATATATACCTACTGAACCAAATACCTACTTTTTTTTAGGATTAAAAACCAAACGCAATGGAAGGCCTTCTTCTGATTCTCTGAAATACCTGTTTATTTCTCAAAAAAAACGTGTAATTTTTGGCAACCAAGGCTCAGCTTGACCCTTCGATCGTGGGTACAAACCTACCAGGAGTGCGGTGAACCCTGGGAATATAAAACTGATTGAGTTTTGGGTTAGACGAATTTTCCAACTTTGGAGCAAAATTTCCGAGTTCCCCTGAGTTATTCATTTATAAGGTGTATTTGAAGCACAATGGGCATCTATACTCTTATTGCTTATTGGCAGATTAGGACTTAGGGAGCCTGGATTTTGTGAAGCAGAGATGCCTTCCTTGACAAAACCAAACCGGTGTGAGTTTGACCTGTCTGATGTATATTTTGTATAGCCAAGTGATCACATGTCCCCGATGACATTTGGCTTTAGGGCCCTTGAGTCATACCGCGCTGCCGTGGTAAAAGTTGGGCATTTGACGATCCCGTTTCCAATTCATATTGGTAGCGGAGCGGGTGACGACCCGCATCCGGTGGTACGTCAGTGACCCAGGGACCCCTTTGTGAATTTGAGTCTGGTAACTTTGGGAATCAACTGAACTTCGAGTGTGTCGTGGTTCGGGAATCTGTCTGACCCTGACCAGGGCAGGCACTTGTTAACGTTTTTCCTTGTTCGACTCCGAACGGAGCGAGCATCATGTCGATCAATGGCCTTCGTTTCAGCCAGGAGCGCCATTCGTCGGCACCACTTGAGACGAAGAGTGGATCATACATCTATGCAGGTGACGCGGCGAACTTTCATGATTGGCAGTTCAGGACTCTCCTTCGGATTCGTCTTTATGAGCAACAATTGGAGGAGGAGACAAGTAAGCCTGCGGATCCCGTTGGGACCACAGCAACAGAGCCTGCCGCAGAAGACGCAGATGAGTATGCTACTTTTCCAGATTTGTCGGGTGCTACTCAAGCAGCCCAGCCTACATCAGCAGTCTCGACTCCGAAGTCTGGAGCGAGCCGAAAATCCTCGAAGTCCGGCAAGCAGAAGACAGACATTGATCGTGGACCATTGGTCAACAAGGTGATTGAAGGACTGAGAGGAGATGCTTTCTCAATAGCTAGGGATCTTGGACTTGAAGTGTTGTCCAAACCTGGTGGCCTTGTGAAACTTGTGGGTGAGATCAAATCCCATGTGTTTCCAAGAGCTCGTGAGGAAGCCAAGGAATTATTTCGAGCAGGACAGAAGCAAGGTGGTCCTTTGTCTCGCCAACCAGGCGAACCCATGCTTTCCTATGTTCAGAGGAGACGACGTTGGTGGCACATGCTATGCGAGTTGGATGACACAATGGTGTTTTCGGACAGCTTGAGGACAGAGTTGATGTTGGAGTTGAGTGGGCTCAATCGACAGGAGATCCTCGTTGTGAAGGCCTGTGCAGACACTAAGGATTTTGAAGGTGTTGGCAAGGTGCTGATCGAGAACTACAGTGGCACTCACTTGCGAGAAGGGTCACGATCCTGGACAGGACGTGGTAATCCTCAACAGCATGGCAAGTCGTCAGGCAAGGGTTATGGCAAAGGCAAACCTTCTTCGAAGGGATCGTATTCCCAAGCAGCCTATGCAGCCTACCCCGATAATGGGGAGGAACATGCAGAATCTTGGGATGAAGCTGTGGATCAATCCTGGGAGGATGATTCATATGTTGGCATGCTTGGTGACATTGCAGAAGAGGAGCCAGGAAACCTAGAAGGTGACAACGAATTTGATTACTTTGACGACGTCGATGAGTACGAAGCAGTTGCATTGAACAGCTTGCTTGAAGTTGAAGGTGCAGAAGATGATCGACAGGCAGGAGACGCTATCCAGCTACAACTTGCTGCTTTCACCGCAATGGGGAAAGCAGGTGGCAAGGGGAAATCCTTCGGGAAGCCCAAAGGAAAAGGCAAAGGATCGAAAGATCATGAAGTCCAACCTCACTATCGATCAGAGGAGACGTAAGCTCACAGAGCTGAAGTCGAAGAGCAAATGTTTGAGGTGCGGAGTCATAGGGCACTGGGCCGGTGACCCGGAATGTAAATTCCCGGGGTCGAAAGCCGGAGCCCCAGGAAAGTCAGCTCCAAAGCCCGCAGCTCACTTTGCCGATATGAGCGATTCTTCAGATGACGATGGTGTGACTTTGACAGCTTCACCTGATCGTGACAGAGATGGAGTTGCTATGATGGCAGTTCGACAAGCGAAGCCCAGCAGTCGACCTTCACGTGCAGCAGCATCCAGCAGCAACGTTGGCTTGATTTCCCGGGATCTCGATGTTACAATGAGACCCGAGGACCATGGGTGCATCTTTCCTGTTGGACAGTTCAAGGGTTTGTCTTTTTGGAATGTGTTGTTTGAACAGACAGGGTACTATCATCATGCCAAGAAACATACCCCCAAGAGTCCATACTATGTCACATGGTTGAATTGGGTTGACAAGTACTTTGTGGTTGGTGCTGATGGGATTCACTTGCGCGAAGTCCCTGTTGAGCATGTCGAGCACCGAGATTTGTTGGTGGCTCGGGGAACTGGCAGAAAGAAACCCCCAAATCCTCCTTTGCCGAACAAGTGTCAGGAATGTCGTGAGTTTACAAAACAAGGTTCTACGGGGTACACCATCAGGAAGACCTGTCTTGTGTGCGGTCATTCCGAAACAACAAGGCGTGACATGGTACCGTTGATGTCCCCTGAGAATTGCCCTCATGATGACACCGATTTTAGGGGATCCAGCAAATCAACACACCGTACTTTCTGCAAGAAGTGTTGCACTTTCATTGATGAAGCTCCTATGCAGATTCGCAAGGAGCGTGTTGCCATTGCCAAGAAGGTTGAAACCGCATCAGTTCGAACAGTCCCCATTGTTGAATCATTGGTTGAAGAATCGGATGGATTGAATCCAGTCCAGTTGGAAGAGTTGTTACCCTTGTTTGCCACTCTTGTTACCGAAACCTGCCAATCTGAGGTGATGACCCGTGCACGACTTCATGAACTACTGCATCAAGCCATCAATGACGTGACAGAGGAAGAGGACAGTTTTTCACTTGTCAATGAAGATGGGCACGGCGACCCCTCGGGCAGGGAGTTAGCTGGGTACGTTGGCATTTGTTTGCATGGAAGTGACACTCAATACCCTCAAGACTTGGTTTACATGAACTATGAAACTATTGACATTGCCAAGTCACCCCATGTTTTTGCAGTATTGGATGAAGGTTGCAACAGCACTTGTCATAGCAAAGCCTGGGGAGTCGGTGCAGAAGCACGACTGGCCCGATTGGGTTACAACATGCCATTGAAGGATGACGGTTGTAAGAGTTTTGCTGGTCTGGGAAGTGGTAGTACCAAGACCGAAGGTGTGAGATCTATTCCTTTTTCGCTGCTGCTTCCAGACGGGAACATGCATGGGGAGTTGGATTCATATCAATTGTCAACAGGCAACAGCCCATTGCTTCTTTCATTGCATGCGCAAACCAAGTTAGGCCTAGTGAAGGACCTAGCAAAAGGGGTGATTTCCATCAAAGATCAACCATTGAATATCAAGAGATGTTCCAAATCAGGTTTACTTGTGATGAATTTGACTGAAGGATTGACCAACATCAACAACACACCGTCGGATGAACTTCCCCAAATCCCGAAGTGTCACAGAAAGTACAACATCGCATACACAGCATCCACATCGGAAGTTGCCATGGCTGATCATGATATGTGTGGTTTTCATTCGAGGGACTATGACATCTTGCAGACGAAGTTGAACGAAGAGCTGCGCAGTGACAGAAAGGTGGTCATCATGACCCGTGGACGCAGATTTCAACAACATGCATGCAGATCTAGCAGGAACACTTTGAGCATCAACTGTGAGGACATTTACGATCCTGATCAGGACGTAAATCTTAGATCTCATGTGGGTTGGCATCATGGAATCCTTGAGACTATGAGCAAGGTCGACAAGTTCATCCAACATCTCAACAACATCCTCCAGTTCGTCACACAACAGGAAGCCGACAGTAAGGTGCTGGTGGACTTGGAGTGCAAGTCAGGTCGCCACAGGTCAGTGGGACAAGGATTTGCTGCCTACAGGTGTCTCAAGGTCCTTGGTTATGACGTTGTTCTCATTCATGCATCATCTTGGATGTGGGGAGAGATGCGTTGTGGTGGAGTTTGTCATGGATGTAAGGACATGGCTGCGAGCTTGGGACAAATTCGACATTTGATCCCGAACATGTCAAGGTTGGCACGATCACGGGGCAATGTGGCTTCAAGCCGTGACGTGCGCGATGCTCCAGCCGATGATGTTTCAGGTGGACATTCATCTCATCCTACATCAGATCACCCCACTGCAGGACATCCTACATCAGATCAACTTGATGAGATTCGACGTTTGGTACAAGGGCTTGCAACAGATGTTGGACATCTTAGGACAGAACAGGTTGAGATCAAAAGGATGGCCGAGACCGGAAGGAGATCAAGGAGCCCTTTGCTGCGTCGACGAAGATTGCCGACGCCGCCCTCACCTCCAAGGCGTAGGAGATCCCCGAGCTTCAGCCGCAAGAAGCTACCTCCTTGGAGACATGCACAAGCATCCAGGGGAAGAAGTCCATCGCCGAGGCCACTATCTGCGAGGCCAGCTCCCAGGAGCCCAGATCATCCTCCACCGCACATTTCGGACGTGCCAGGGACCGATGACGGATCCCGATCTTCAGGGGCCATGGATGGACCTCGAACTTCAACGTTGCCACAACGATCTCGAGAACCTCCCAATGATCGCGATGAGCTTGAGCGACTGATCCGAAACAATTTGGCATCAGATGGACCGTTTGACAACAAGAACGTGTCGGTGAAGACATTGGACGGCGAGCTCCTTAGCGAAGTTGTGTCTTTTTGCATCCGTGAGGGTAACAGGGATCGGCTCTTTTGGATTTGCAAAGATGGAGAAGACCCACTGGTGGAAGGAGTTCGCATGAACGTCCTGATTCGAGATCACATCCGGCCAAATCGGATTGTCAAGGTCTCGAATGGCATCAAGCACTGGAAGCGATCTACATGGTGTCGACCTCGCAATGGAGGCGACTGGGAACTCATTGAAGACAACGTTGATAGCAGGGCAACAGTGCGTTTGA